AAGAAAAAGAAAAAGCTATAACAGATAAAAAAAGAAAAACAACACAGCAATGTACATCTAACTGACACTACATTACATTAATCAGTAGTTGTACTTTAGGGCTGGGGCTTTAGCTCAGTGACATTGTGCCTGCCTGACAGGCGCAAGGTCCTGAGTTCAATCCCCAGTACCAAAAGAAAAAAGAAAGTTGCACTTTTTGCAAACTGGCTATAGCAGTCCTGACTCAGAAGGGTTTCCTGTTTAAGCTGCAGTAACTTTTCTGACAGGTCCTTATGTCTACATTTCTTCTTTTTTTCCTTCGGTTTTTTTTTTTTTGGTACCAGGAATCCAATACAAGGCCTTGCACTTGCCAGGCAAGTGCTGCCCCACTGAGCTGCATCCCAGCCCCAGGTTCTTACAGTTCTATGTCAGGTCCTGACAGTTCCTCTAATGCATTTGGGACGACTGACTCTTCTTTTTTTTGGTGGTGGTGGTGGGGTACCAGGGATTAAACATGGGACCTTGCACTTGCAAGGCAGGCAGCAGCACCACTGAGCTAAATCCTCAACCCCTGGGACGGCTATCTCAAAATAACTGGCAGCTTTCCTGGCAACTCAACTCTCTCTCTTGCTAAGAACTGTAGTCCTTTTCTGTTGTTTTTTAAAAGCTTCTGGTGCCATATCCATCACTTCCACCAGCAGATCCGTAACCACCCCCATAGGGACAGCCAGAGCTTCTTCCACCAACACTGTCCCCTCCCCCATCCGGAATTTGATTTCTCTTGACCACTATAATTTCCAAAATCACTGTAGTGTTGCTTTTTTTTTCCACCACCACCATAGTTACCACCACCACCATTTCCTCCTTCGTTGTAACCATCATATCCTCCTCCTCCACCATACCCACCACCTTGGTTTCCATATCCTGGTCCATCACAACATAGCCTCCCTCCTCTACTACTGTAACCAGGACCGTGGCCACACTTTCCACATCACCTCCCAATCCATTATATCCACCATCACCATAACTACCTCTGCTGCCACCACCTCCACCACCATAGCCTCCTCTTCCATCGAAGCACCAAAATTCCCTCCACCACCTCCAGAGTTTCCTCCACAACCTATAAAATTGCCAGATCTGCCTCCATGACCTCTTTGTGATCCAGCAGATTGCAACTCTTGTTTAGAAAGGGCCTTTTTCACTTCACAATTATGCCCACTAATAATGTGGTATTTCTGAACAACAGTTTTATCTACTATATTGTGATCATCAAAAGTTGGGCCGGGGATTTAGCTCAGTGGTTTCGCCACCTGCTGCGGAAGCGCAAGGACCCGAGTTTGATCCCTGGTACCAAAAAAAAAAAAAAAAAAAAAAGTTAAAAAAGCAGCAAGCACATGGAGCCGAGTTTGATCTCCAGTACCAAAAAAAAAGTTAAAAAAGCAAATCTCCTCTTTTTCCCACTCTGCCTGTCTTCCATAACTTCTATGGTTTCGATTGCCATACTTTTCAAAGTAGTCTCTCAAATTGTATTCTTCTGTATCTTCTTTAACCTCCAACAAAAATTTTCTTCACTGTCAGATGAGCACCAGGCTTTACTGAATCCTCTCTCTGGTTCCACTACACACCCATCAAGTTTGTGTGGTTGAGCACACGTTGCTGCATCCACCTCTTCAACACAAAACCAAATCCTAGGGAGGGCTTTTATTTTTCAGTACCTGGGATCGAATTTGGGACATTGCGCTTGTGAGGCAGTCAGCTGAACCACTGAGCTAAATCCCCGGCACCAGGAGGGCTTTTTTTTTGCGGGATTCTCTCATTACCACACAATCTGTGGGTGTGCCCCATTTCTCAAAATTTTCTCTTAAACTCTCATGGGCAGCAGTTTTACCTCCATTTTGAGACTGGACTCTTGTAACTCAAACTCTTCCAACTCGGGTTCAGTATCGGCCAATTCTGTATTGTAAGTTAGTGAGCGAACATTCTGAGAGTTTGGAGAGGAGGTCTTAAAAACCCTTTCCGTATTGGTAACCTCATCATGTGACAAAATGTGGCAGTTCATTCTCCAAAGGCAGTGCTTTAGGGAATATGGCTTTAGATGGCTTTTGAATTAATGGAAGGAATAATTCTGAGATTAGTAACATTTTCAGTCAGGATTATCCCTGAAGGTAAAAAAAACAATCACTGAGTTCTACGGATTGTGTTTCTGCTGGCAAGAAAAGAGGAACAAAGAGAAAAAATAGTAGCAGGAAAAGAGGGGAGGAGAGAATGGAAAAAAGGGGGGAAGGGATAGAATATAGTAAGAGCTAGTTGGTGAAGATTACTGGAAACAAATGTCCAGGTATGTCTTTGTATGAAGAAGGTGTGTAGCGGGTCTAGCCCCAAAATGTAAAAGTGGAAAAGAAGAGATTGGATGAAGAATAGGACGGGAAGACTATAACAGACAAGTTAAAATTCCGTTGTGTGCACTTTCACATTGTTGTGGACATAGATTTCATAATCTTAACACTTGCCTGGATCTCTCTTTTTTTTTTTGGTACCGGGGATCGAACTCGGGTCCTTGCGCTTGCGAAGCAAACGCTGAAACCACTGAGCTAAATCCCCGGCCCAAAACTATTCTTTTTTGGGTTTTTTTGGTACGGAGATCGAACTTGGGTCCTTGTGCTTGCAGGACAGGCGACAGAACCACTGAGCTAAATCCCTGGCCCCTGTTGTTTGGTTTTTTGGTTAAGACAGAGTCTTCCTATATAGTATAGTCTGGCCTTAAACTCACTGTGAAGCCCAGGCTGGCCTGGAACTAGCAGCAGTCCTTCTGCCTGAGTCACCAAATGCTGAGATCACAGGTGTACACCACCACGCCTGGTTTAAATTTTAAAAATCTTAATCTTATAGATAACTAAGCTCTCTCATACCATGTACGCATTGCCACTGAACAGAAATCTGGTCTGGAGAGGCTAACATTCTGATGTGAGGTTAGATTGGCACTTCCTCCAGTGTTTTTTGTTTTGTTTTGTTTTTTGTGGTACCGGGGATCAAACTTGGGTCCTTGCTCTTGCGCAGCAGGCGGTGAAACCACTGAGCTAAATCTCTGGCCCTCCTCCAGTGTTTTTTGTACAATTATGTGGAAATTCTAACCAATGAACACAATGATTGCACAATGATTTCTTATAATTTGTTGTTATTTCATACTTTAAAAGGAGCACTCTCAGGTTTTGTGCATGCATACAAAGGAAAACATAAATAAAATGAATTCCAGAAACTTCTTCACATGTAGAGCTCAGCTTTTGTAAATCATTTACTGAATCAGTTGTTATGGTTGTGGTTTTCCTTACAGTATTGGCTTCTGTGCCACCAAAAATGTGGAGAATGCATCAAATTTTAAGAGTATTCCACTATTCAGGATTTTCTTCCAAGCAGCTGATCCTATTATACCCGAATTTTGATGCTAGTGCTTTTGGATCTAACAAGATGTCTGTGATCTCAGGTAATATCTCATCTTCTTTCTTCAGTGGCGTTTTTGACTAAAACTTTGAGAGGATGGGTATACTTGTCTAGCAGGACCATCAGTAATAATAGCCAAGTCATTTCACTGTTTTTGTTGTGTAGGGAATTAGGTTTATAGTTTAGCTGTTCAGATATAGTTTCCCAAAATGCATTAAGAACTAGTACATTTGGTGAGTAACTCGGAACTCTCAGAAGTCCAGTAGCTTTTAGCCAATCTCGCTATTCTCTTTTCTAGGTCCAGGGGGAATCTTTTTGGTTGTAGGAAAATCTTCTCTGAGCGACTCCTGTGTCTCTTACTTCCCTTGTGTGTATGTTGTGGTTTTATCAAACCGTGCGCTTAATTCAGCTGAGAGGAGCACTGTGTAAACAGCGGCATGCATGTTTTCGGACGCGGAGGCAATGCTGCCATCTGGCCAACGACATTAAGAGACCATCCAGAATTTGTAAGAGACAGCCTGATTTCAGAGATATTAACGCGTGGGGAAAGAAAAACATGTCTTATCGTTGGTGAATACATTATGTCATGGTGGCTGGGTAAACTCCATGGTATCATGGAGTTTATTTCACTGATACCAAGATGTGGAAAGAACTTGCCTTAAAAGAAATCAGTATTTTTGTGTGTTAAAAAGAAAATCTAGGGGCTGGGAATCTATCCCAGGTCAGCGTGCTAGCGTGTGTGCGTTGCAGGGATCGGTCACCAGCAAGGCTGTAACAACAGCCAGAGAGCCAAGTAAACAGCCAGGGAGCCACTCTAAAGGCACCGAGAGTATTTCTACATAGATGTAGATCTCGAACCAGCAGGTGCCCAGTCCATTGTAGATATGGATGCATTTGCTTATCACAGATTTAAACGATATATTAGGTAGCATAATTGATTCAGGTTTGTGCCCCCTCCCCATCACGTTTAAACTGCAGCCGCTCACCACTGCATTCTAGCAGGTAGGCAGCGAGTGTAATCGAACGAGATGGATGTCAATATTTGTAACCCTTTCGTGCGTGCACAGCGAAGGCCTCGGAATAGCTGATCTCCTTAAAGGAGCCCCAGCCTACAGTTTGTCAAAGAGAGATCATAGGACTCCTCACAGACGTCCCCTGACCTGAAATGCAAGACTAAACCGCAATCTTAACTACAGTGCCTAGCACGGAGTAAGTGCTCATTGAAAAGCAGCTTTTGTAAGATGCGCCTCACTGCGGGATAGCGAGGGGGATAGCGAGGGGGACCGGGCAACCTATTACCCCTTCAGCTTGGTTTTCTTTCCTGCATTCATGCAGTGCTTTGAATGGGGAGAGCTCTCATTTATTCGTTCAGATGCTAAAACTCTGGCGACTGATCTCGCGCCCTAAGGTGCTGCGCGCTCAGTAGATTCATTTCCAGAGTGGCCAGGCAGGCAGTGTCCGCTTTAAGCTCGGGGAGCGGGGGCCCGGGGCCAGCGGGGCGCTGGTGGGCGTGGGCGTGGGCGGGGGGGCGGTGCCAGGCCGTGCGTCAGAGGCCCCTGTTTTCTCACCTTGCCTGACGTCAGAGCTGCAGCGGTTGCGGTGCAGCGCACAGTCCTGGCGAGCCAGTCGTGACTCGGGGCGCGCGTGGATCGGGCGCTTCGCTTCGCGGGGCTCCAGTGGGGACTCGGCGCGCTCGGGGCGGCTCGGGGTTCGAGCCGCCGCGGTTGCGGAAGGACAGGCGGGCTCCGCGGAGGTGAGGCGCGCGGAGGAGCGGGAGCAGCGGGCTCGGCGGGGTCCCGCATGCACCTGCGGGCCGTATCGGGGCCGCCTGTCCACACCCCAGGGGTCCCGCGTCCCCAGCCCCGGGCTCCCGGCTCGGTGGCAACTGCATTTCATTTGGGTAGCGTCCGATTGTGTGTGTGTGTGTGTGCGCGCGCGTGTGTGTGTGCGCGCGCGCGAGTGTTTGCAGTTGATCGCTGACCGCCGTCGTGCAACAGTTGTGCAAATGTGACGCCCGCGGAAGCCTTGCGGGTCCCGCGGCCACCCGGGGCGCCTGTGGCTCGCGAGGGATAGACGCGGGTTTCGGCCCGAGTGGAAGCATCCTTTTTTGTGTTTATTTTACTGCAGTTGTTTACTCTCGAGGAGAAAGAGGAGGGACGGAGAGTGCCCCGAGCAGAGGCGAATTTGTTAATTTTGCATGTGTCTTACCCTTCTTTTTAATGTGTGGAAATTTGTAGGTGTCCCCGGTGAGTGGGGTATTTATTTTACGATCTTTTCACTTAATCCATCGATGGAGTTTTTCTGTATCATTGGAAACCAGAGGCGGCTAGGAAGAAACTCGTTAAAGCTTTGATTGCTTATCACTGCAGTGGGTATCCGATTGGTTGGAAAAAAGCTGGATTCGGGGTAGCAACTGGTTTCTATAAAATATTGTTTACTCTGAACAATTTGAGACGGTGTTTTGCAGACTGCGATTTTTCAGCCAGTGAGTTTTGGGATGAAAATCAATGACTAGCGTTTTTAAAAAGTAAAATTAAAAGACAGTATAGAAAACACCAGAACACACGGGGTGAGGGTATTGTTTTGTGAAATCTTGTTTTAACTGCGCATGTGTGCCCGCATGTGTGTGTGTGTGTGTGTGTGTGTGTGTGTGTTGGGTTGTAACATAACATGTATTGCCTTCTGCGATGTCATGCTAAATAAATTTGAAGTCATTAATCCTAGGTACTGAGAGACCAGCAATGAGGCAGTTAAACTAAATGTTCTACCTTTTTTCGTTTTGTTTTTTCAGGTGACATTGTTTATTGCACCAAATTAGGTGCCTAATTATTTGTTTTTACCTAATATTACAAAAATTAGCATTTCTAAATATAGAGAAACATTCATAGAAGTTAAGAGGCTAAAGCATAAACAGCTCAGATTTGACCAGCTACACTATTGATGTGAAAGCTGAACGTGATAACCTTTTCTTTCTAATCCTCGGTTTCCTGATGTGCTAAGTGTGAATTATCTTGCCTCTTACCTTTTAAGAGTGTTGGGTGTTTAGATGAGGTGTGCATGTGAAGCTGTGGACAGGATCCCTGGCTCAAATTTTAAGCACTCAATGAGCATTAGTGATTATTATTTTTTTAAAACTAAATGGCGATGTCCTGGATGCTTACCATGGAAAGAAAACCGGCATAGTATGGATAATTTAACAACAACAACAAAAAAAATAGAAAAGGAAAAGAAAAGTTGAAAATTATTTAATATCGTTGCATGAAAGATCTGACGCTGAATTAGAATGGTTTTTTTGTATACTGTTTGACCATTATTTTGTGATTACTTCGCAGTTGTTTGCTTACAGCTAGACAGGTAATTTAGATTGTCTTATTAAAAAAATCGAATACTGTTGTTGTCTTTTTTTATTTTCTGTTGAGTTGATTTCTCCATTGTCAAACAATTGAAAAATATTTCCTATGAGGATTCCGTATTCTGTTACCTTGTATTACACTGCCACAACAATTGGCTTGAGGTGCATAGTACAGCTCTAAAATCATCTCAACAGCATTGTTGTTGGTGTTTATCTCTGCATCTGGTACAGATCTCAGATGTGCAAGAAATATAGTATTCCTAAAAACAAAACAGAACAAAACAGCCTCAGGCAGTTCAGCTGTGTCTGCTCTTATCCTAGGTGAGTCTGTGCAATTTTAAGTATTACAAAACATCAGTGAGATAAGAGAGTGAACATTGTCATTTAAAAAACAGTGTTATAATTTTTAAGAAAAATAAATGTAATGCTTTGGCCTTTTCAAAAAAAGGCTTTCGTTTTTAGCTAGGTGTGCCAATTGTAAGGGGTTGCGGAAAAACCTTAAATAGTCATAATTTTGCTCTTAGATTTGAAAATGTCTTTAGGCTCTTTTTCTGCTTTAGACTAAAAATTAAAATGTTGAAGGTGAATTATGATGTGGCTTATGAAAAACATGATTTGAAACTCTAGGTAATCTGTTCACAAAAAAATCAAAACAAAAGCCTTGAGTAATAATGAAGAAAACAGCCCATTCTGATCTTAAACATATGTGGATAGTATGTTTTAGATTAAAATATTAAGGTTATGTGTGTATATTTTTAAAATTATTGAGTCACCAACTACCAGTTCTGATCAAATAAGAGGGGTTTTATCTTATTTTGATAAGATGAAAAACTAATCAGTAGGCATTTCATTTTGGAATTATATATAATGCTGTGTACTTCACAGACAAGCGAGAGAAACTGGAATAGAATGGAGTGTTCAGTACTGTTCCATTTTTTTAAAAGGATGTTTAGAACAATATTAGATATTAATGATGGGTGGTGGAATTATAGCTATTTACACTCCTTAATTCTTTGTTTTTACAAGCACACTATAATTGTTTTATTTTTATAATAAAGTAAATAAAAGTCACTGGAAATTAAAACAATTAAAAAAATTAAAATGTGGGGCCGAGGGTTTAGCTCAGTGGTTCCGGCGCCTGCCTCACAAGCGCAAGGTCCGGAGTTCAATCCCCGGTACCAAAAAAACCAAAAAACAACAAACAAACAAACAAAAATTAAAATGTGCATTTTCCTTTTTCAAATGAGATTTTGCTTTAAGGGATTCTGACTTACTGAATTTCAGTATTTTGGATCTTAACTAATTTACCAGTACACAAGGAAATAATGCTGAGTAGTTTTAGCAGTTATATTTCTTGAAAAGCTCTTTTGAATAGGAGGGAACCATTGTTCCAGAATTTTCCGAAAGCACTCTTTGAGTATACCTGTTTGCAAAAAACAATTCCAATTTATATGTTTGAATTCCTTAGTCTGCTTTTGAATCCTACCATGTCAATACTCGATCTACCTTTCCTGTTTTATTACCCCTTAAATTCTCAAATGAAATTTTAGATTCAGCTGAACTCGTTGTATTTACTGTCTCCAGGTATACTTGTGGTTTCTTGCTTTCGAACCCATGCTTGTTTGTTTCTTAGAATATGTTTCCTGACATTTGTGTAAGGAAATCCCATTTTCTAAAACCTGGTTAAAAAACCATATCCACTGGGGGGCGTAGTGACTCACCCCTGTAATCTCAGCTCCCTGGGAGGCTGAGGCTAGATCAGAGCCCAACGTCTGTAATTTAGTGATTTAAAATCACTAAGTCTCAAAATAAAAAAAAATTTTAAAATGGGTTAGGGGTGTAGCTTAATGTGAAGACCCTGGGTTCAATCCCTAGGGTCAAAAACAAAACAAAAATCATATCTTCTTTGACATATTTGGGTACTCCAGCTAAAACTGAACTTTCCAAATGAACCCATTAGCTATTATTATTATTATTATTATTATTATTATTAGAGTGCTGGGAAACAAATCCATAGCCTCATGCATGCTAGGCAAATGCCCACTGAGCTATGCCCTCAGCCCCATGTTTTTTTTCTTGTTTCTCAGATACTACTTTATGCTTTTACATTCATTTTCCAGTTCCGTTTTAAATTTCTAGAAGGCAAGAAAGCTTGTCTTGTTTTTGCATCTATCCCTTAAAGTTTCTAGCGTAGAACTCTACACAGGGGAGGTGCTGAAAAATTACACTTTCTTTAAACAATTGTGTCACTTTTGAGCCCAAGTATTACAAATCTTTCTAACCAGTGATCCTAGGCAAAACACTTTGCCCACAACAATGTGGAAGGAAACAAAACAAAACAAAACACTGATCCTTCTGTGTATTTTGTTCACTGATACAGGTGGATGGTAAAGAATTGACAATATTTTTAAAATTAAAATTAGTATGATAGCTTGAGGGTTTGAGTCATTAGGCCAGTACCCGAACTATAATGTCTCACATATATTCCGTGTAAATTTCTCATGAAGCTTATTTGGGGTTTGATAGCATTTTTGTCCTTAAACTTACCAGAGATACAGTTGTGCCTTATATTATTTCACAGCAGTTGTTCCTGGAACCTAGAAATCCAAAGTGTCTGGTGATATTTTAGGTGCCAACAGCGTCCCTGCTCCAGAATACAGCACTTTAGTAGGTTGTGTTTTAATAGTAAGCGTGTCACAGTACAGTATGTAAAGTGCTTTGTGTTCCAAAGTCACAGTTTTCTTCCATTACTAGAAGCATAATTGTGTTACTTTTCAAATTTTAATATGAGGGCATTTATTTGATTAATGGTAGGTACTTATGTGACTTATCTTTCTTTTGAAACATTGTTTTATTTTAATTTGCAGATGTTTGCTGGATCTAATACAGCTGATGAAATACCTGCCCTTTTCTGCTCAAGGTAAATCATTTGTTACTTTGTAAAAAATATCAGGTTGTAATTGAATTCAGAGTTTGTAAAAGGTCAGGCAAAGTAATATAATCCCTGACCATGAAGAAATGATCCTTTTAATAGGTAAGAATTTTATTATTCATTAAAAATGATAACTTACAGGGCCAGGGATTTAGCTCAGTGGCGCTGCGCCTGCCGTGCAAGCTCAAGGTCCTGAGTTCAATCCCTAGTACCAAAAAAAAAAAGATAACTTACATTATTGGATCAGCTTAGAATCTCTTGGAACATTTTACAGAATGCATAATATGCGTGTGTCTGGGCTTTCTCCCCCAGCCCAAGGGAATTTGATTTGGGAAGTTTTAAGTGGGGTTCTGTCATGTGAATTAAAAAAAATGCCAATATGGGCTCAGACTCCTCTGTGCCCGCTGGGGGCTTGCTGGCGTAAAACAAAACAAAACGAAACAAAAAACCCAATATGTACTTCTGATTCTTTGTCATTGAGACAGAAGAGATGATATAAATAGCAGATGATAATGCCTTAGGGGTTAAAGGCCCTAAGGGTTAATATTTAATTTTTGTGTGTGTGATTAGATTTTTTTGAGGGGGTACTGGGGATCGAACTCGGGACCTTGCGCTTGTGAGGCAGGTGGCGGAACCACTGAGGTAAATCCCCGGCCCTGATTTTTTTTGTTTTTGAGACACAGTCTTGCTAACCCTACCCCTACCCCTACCCCTACCCTTAACCCCAACCCCAACCCCAAGCACACCTGTAATCCCAGCTCTCAGGAGGCTGAGGTGGCAGGAGGCTCACTGAGTTCGAGGCCAGCCTGGGCTACATAGTGATACCCTAACTCACCATGCTTGGCTTAGATTCATTATCATTTTGCCTTTCATTCAGTGTTTTCATTGCATTTTCAGAATGTCATTAAAAAGTTTGTTATTTTGTGATTTTCAAAATTTAGGTTTAAGCTCTAGGATTCACTTAGCCTAGAAAATTACCCTATTTATAAATCAAGTTTACAAACTTCGTGTCATTTGGTTGTTTCAGATTAATATATGAAGCAAATTAATGGGAAAAAGATCATTTTTTTTAATATTTAAAAAATGTTTTCCCAGTACCTGGGATTGAACTCAGGACCTTGTGCTTGGAAGGTAGGCACGGCGCCACTGAGCTAAATCCCTGGCCCCAAACCACGTTTTATTTTGTTTTTGCTTTTGGTAAAACCATGTTTTAAATAATTTCATATATATTGTTTCAGATGCTGGTTTAATTAATTTATTTTCCCCATAAATGTAGGAAGTCAGAAACTCAAAGGCTCTCAGTAAACTCTTTGGGGGGATGTTATAATAGAATTTTGACTTGAAGGTTTTATATTTTCATTTTACTGATTTTAAGTGTCATTCCATTTTTCAGATTGATTTTAACAATTAAACTTTTTCTGTTGCAGAATAATCTCATTACACATTATAGAATGATTCTGTATGTTTTCTAATAGGATTATTTAAGTTTTTAGAGTTGAAAACTTGTCAAAATTATTTGCAGTTCTATTTTCATTTTAACAAACCAGCAGGGAAACTACACTGAATTAATTTTTTTCACTTAGTCACACACACACACAATGTCAGCTAATAAAAAAATTACTTGGGAAGTTTTGAAATTCTGAATCATAGGCTCTTACTCAGCTCTGCTAATTGAGAACTTCACAGAGTGATGTTGGCATCCTGCCTGGTTTGGAACCACTGCAGGATATAATGTTGAAAGATTATGGTGTTAGGTGGTAGGAAACTATTTGTCGAGAAATTTCAGAGCATTAGTAGGGAAAAATTCGTAATATTTATTTGGTTTATGTGATGGTCGGGAGAGCAATAGTTGGTGTTTCCAGAAACTGATTTGGTTGTCAATTGGAATTTTAGCAACTTGTGGTACCTTAGTTCACAAACTTAATTCTTTCCATAATCTGTTTGCAAACTGAATTGGACAAGAACTGAATCTAATTTCCCCACAAGATCGACAGAACCTAAGCACTGAATTCAATTTGATTCTTGTCCAATTCGGTTTGCGACCAGAATCGTAGAAAGACTTAAATTTGTGAACTGAGGCACCATTGTGTTCTAAAACCTGCCTCTTGTGAGCTGAGTAGATAGATGCTGGCATGTGGTAACTTTACTGTCATGATAGGGAATTTGATGTTGTGATCCATGACCCCGAAAATTTAGATCAACTGGAGTTGTACAGAAGCATCATGGGAAAATTAAAGAGCTCCCTAAGAGGATGTTAAACATACTACAATAATATCTAAAAGTAGTCATTTGCCTTTACAAATTGAGTACTGTGTTCTTCGTTACTGAATCGATTCCTAATAACTCTAGCAGGTTATTAGAAAATTGATAGGAAATTGAGTCCTTCAAGTTTTCAAATATCGGCAGCAGTTGGTGTTTGTGAAGAGGCCTGATTAGATCTTCTCTCCAGGTTCCTGATGGATTGAGAAACTCATGTCTACTTTCTGTGTCCTCCTAACTGCTGTTAGAAACAGGAAGAGATTTCTGAGCCATTTCCCGAATAGCAGGAAGGAGTCACTGAGCTCTTGGTCCCTGTTCATTTTTTGCAGTGTGAGTGTTGGAGGCCAGCTGCTCTCTGTCTTTGTTTAGTCACGATGCAGAAGAGACAAGGCTACTGCAGCTACTGTCGTGTCACCTATGCCAACCTGGAGCAGGTGAGAGGTTCCTGCTGACGCATCGGTCGTCCCTCAGAGGACCTTACCTGTGTGTTTTCTTCTCTTTTACCTCTTATTACATTCATTTATTCCTTCACTGAACAGATTATATTGAGAACGTACTAGTTTGCACACACTTCTATGATTCTAGGGGTATAAAAACACTAAGCTTTTTTTCATGGAGCTTACATTCTAGTACAGTAAGATGCAGAACAAGTAATCATATAGATTCAGTACATACTATGTTAGATTGTGGCCCATTGTATAAGGAAAATAAAACAGGGAAGGGGTGTGTTACTTTAGGTAGAGTGGCTAGGTGAGGCCTTTTTAAGAAAGTGCCATTTGATGGGCTGAGGATTTAGCTCAGTGGTTTTGCCGCCTGTTGCACAAGCACAAGGATCCGAGTTCAATCTCTGGTACCAAAAAAAAAAAGAAAAAGAAAGTGCCATTTGAGGTGAGATTTGAATAAAGTTCATTGCCAGCCTTGCATGTATATGAGGGAAGGGTTTCTCTTAGAGGACAGAGAGTGAGGACCGAGACCCCAGGGCAGAAGTGTGTGGCTGCAGTGGGTGGCAGGTGGGTGGGAAGTACAGATGCTCCTTGTTTAACACCGAGGTCCACCCCTGCGACTAATGAATTGGTTGCTAAATGAGGAGTTGTATATAGTGCGTACATTACAAGATTCAGAACAAAGAAATGGTCAAAGGAAACTGCAGCTTGCTGTCTTTGCTTTTATTTGCATAACTCTTACATGGAGTACTGTAATGTATAACAACATAAAATTACAGTACTGTACTGTACAGTACAATCAGGAAAATTACAGTACTGTACTGTAGGTAGGCCAGGTAGGCACAATGCTACTGGGCTACATCCCCAACCCTAGACTGGCTATCTCATATAAACCGAATCATATATTATGTGACGTTTTGTGTTTGGACATCTTTTTTTTTTTTTTTTGGTACTGGGGATCGAACTTGGGACCTTGTGTTTGCAAGGCAGGCAGCAGAACCACTGAGCTATATCCCCGTCCCTGGACGTCTTTCACTTAGCATATTTTTTGGGCTGGAGATGTAGCTCAGTAGCACTGTATCTACCTGTCAAGTGCAAGGTCCTGAGTTCAATCCCTGGTACTGGGGGAAAAAAAAGATAAAAACTTATAGTGATATTTTTGAGGTTCATCCACATATGCATTGCCTTACTGTTTTCCAAAGTGAGTCACTTTTTTGTTAACCACCAGCAATGTTTGAGGGTTCCAGTTTCCCCCCATCCTTGCCAGCACTTGTTTTTTTTTTTATAGCCATTTTAGTGAGTGCAAAATGGCATCTCATTCATTTAATTTACATTTCCCTAATATCATTGGGTATTTTTTCATGTACTTATTGGCTATTTGTATATCTTCGTTGGACAAATACCCATTCAAATCCTGGGCTCATTTTTTTTTCGGTTGTGACCATTTTTAATTTGAGTCTTGTGGTTGAGTTTTAAGCCTTTTATATATTCTGGAACTAGACCATTATGAGATAGAAGATTTGCAAATACACTCTAAGGGTTATATTTGCACTGTCTTGAAAATATGCTTTGAGATACAAAAGTTTTAAATTTTTTATCATTGAATTAATTTTTTTTCTTTTGTTGCTTTCCTTTGTTACTTGATGTCAGAAGAATTGCCTAATTCTAGGTCATGAAGATTTGTGCCCATGTTTAGGTCTTTTGTCCATTTTGAATTAATTTTTGGATGTGGTATGAGATAGGAGTTCAGTTTAATTATTTTGCATATAATATCCAGTAATCCCAACACCATTTATTAAGACTATTCTTTCCTCCACTCAACTGTCTTGATATCTGTTGGAAAATCAATTGAGTATAAATGTAAGGTTTTCTTTACTTTCAATTCTATTCCATTCAGCTATATATCTCCTAATGTTGGCACCACATGGTCTTAAAAAAATCACTAATGGGGCCAGGGATTTAGCTCAGTGGTTCTGCCACTTCCCTTGCAAGCGCAAGGACCCAAGTTTGAACCCTGGTAGCAAAAAAAAAAAACAAAAAAAAACCACACACAAAAAACCCCAAAACCCACTAATGATACATATTTATGGGGAATAGTGTGAGATTTCTGTACATGTATAAAAATGTGTCATGGTCAGATCATGATAATGGGCATATCTCCATCACCTTGGACATTTATCATTTCTTTGTATTGGGAACATTCAAAATCCCCTTTGCTATTTATTTTGAAATATACAACTAATTGCCACCAACCATGATTAGCCTACTGTGCTACAGAACATTAGAAGTTATGCCTCCTCTCCTGTGTACTCTGTACTCCTGCACCTGTTAACCATCCTCTTCCCTCCTGACACCCTTCTCAGGTTTTGGTAACTGCTATTTGCCCTTCACTTTTCTATGATCAACTTTTTAGCTTCCACATGTGAGAACATGTAGTATTTTTCTTTCTCTGCCTTATTTCACTTCATATAATATTCTCTAGGTTCGTCTGTGTCACTATAAATGGCAATTTTTCTTTTTTCATGGCCACATAATAGTCCACTACAAAGATATACCACATATTCTTTATCCATTCATCTATTGTTAGACACCTAGGTTGATTTCAGTTTTTTGACAGTTGTGAATAGTGCTCCAAAATATGTGTGAGTACAGATGTCTCATTGACATGTGGTTTTATTGCCTTTGGTTATATATCCAGTAGTGGGATTACTTGCTCATTTAATAGTTCTATTTCTAGAGCTGGGTGTGGTGGTGCACGCCTGTAATCCCAGCACTTGGGAGGCTGAGGCAGGAGAATTGCTGCCAGTTCGGGGCCAGCCTGGGCTACAAAGGAAGACCCTGACTCAACCCACCCCCACCCCAAATAGTTCTATTTCTAGTTTTTTGTGTGTGCCCAGGATTGAACTCGGGACCTTGCGCTTGCAAAGCAGGTGGCGGCACCACTGAGCTAAATCCCAGGCCCTATTTCTAGTTTTTGAGGAATCACTACATTGTTATTTCAGAATCAAACTCCAGACCTTGTGCAGAACCACTCTGGACCAGGTAGGTGCAGTATCACTGAGCTACATTCCCGGATCTTTTCTTTCTGATAATAACCATTCTTACTAGACTGAGCTGATATCTTATTATGTTGATTTGCACTTCCCTGATGATTGGTGATGTAAGGATTTTTTTATATACTTGTTCACTATTTGTGTATCTTCTTTTCAAAATGTCTATTCAGATAATCAGCCCTTTTATGTGTGTGTGTGTGTGTGTGTGTGTGTGTGTGTGTGTGTAATGGGGATTGAACTCAAGGGCTTCACACTGAGCTATATCCCCAGCCCTTCTTTATTTTATTTTGTTTTGATTTGTGTTTTAAATTTTGAGACAAGGTCTTATTGAGTTGCCCAAGGCTGGGCTCCACCTTGTGGTTCTTCTGTCTCAGCCTCTGAGAGTGTTGGGATTACAGATATGCACTGCCATGCTACGCTCAGTCCCCCACTTTTAAACAAAATTATTTGCTTTTAAGCTTTTGAGTTTTTTAAATCTTTTATGTGTTCTGGAAATTAATCACTTGATGAATAGTTTGCAAGTATTTTCTCCCATCCTTAGGTAGTCTCTTCACTCTGTTATTTACCCTCTTGTGGCAAAGCACTTTAGCTTGATACATGTAATCTCATTTGTTAATTTTTGCTTCTGTTTTCTGTGCTTTTGGGGTTATATACAAAAAAATCTCTGGCCATGCCAGTGTCCTGAGTCATTTTTTTTTGTTTTCTTCTAACAGTTTCATAGTTTCGGATTTTACACTTAAGTCTAATTCATCTTGAGTTGATCTTTGTATATGGTAAAAGGTCTAGTTTCATTCTCCTAAATAATGGAGCCTCAAATTTTCCAGCACCATTTATTGAAGAGACTTTGATTTCAGGGCTGGGGATTTAGCTCAGTGGCATCGTGCATGCCTCTCAAGTGCAAGGTCCCGAGTTTGATCCTCAGTACCAAAAAAAAAAAGAGAGACTTTGATTTTTCTAATATATTTTTTTGCTGGGTTTGCTTAAAACCAGTTGGCTGTAAACATGTGGATTTATTTCTGGACTTGCCTTTTTTTTTTTTTTTTTTTTAGACAGGGTTTCTCTATAGTTTAGGCTGGCCTGGAACTCATTATAGCCCATCTGGCCTCAAACCTGTGACAATCCTCTAGCCTCAGCTTCCTAAGGGCTAGAAAAGGCATGCACCACCACACCCACTTGTTTCTGGGTATTCTATTCTGTTCTTTTTATGTGTCTATGTGTTTTAATGCCAGTACCATGCTGTTTTGGCTACTATAGCTTTTGAGTATGTTTTAAAGTAGGGTATTGTAGTACCTCTATTCTTGTTCTTTTTGCTCTGGATTGCTTTGGGTATTCAGGATCATCTTTGATTTCATATGAATTTTCTGATTATTTTTCTAGTTCTGTGAAGAATGTCATTTGTATTTAAGAATTATCTTGAATATGTAGATTGGGTAATATGGACACTTAAAAAATTATCTTCCAGGCCTAGGGATTTAGCTCAGGGGTGCTGCTGCCTGCTTCACAAGCACAAGGTCCTGAGTTCAATTCCCAGGACCAAAAAAAAAACCTTCCAATCCATGAACATGGGTTGTCTTTCCATTTTTTTTGTGTCCTTTTCAATTTAATTCTAACATGTTTTGTAATTTTCATTGTAGAGAACATTTATGTCTTTGATTAAGTTTTTCCTAGTTACTATTTTTAGTTTCTTACAACTGTTATGAATGGGATTGCTGTCTTGATTTTTCTTTTCTTTTTTTTTTTTTTGGTACTGGGGATTGAACTCAGGACCTTGTGCTTGAGAAGCAGGTGGTAGCACCATTGAGCAGTCCCTGGCCCTGTCTTAATTTTTCTTGGCAGTTTTGTTACTGGTGTATTAAAAAGCTACTGCTTTTTGTATGTTGTTTTCATATCCTGTAATACTGAATATATACAGTGAATGCATTTATTAGTTCTAATAGTCCTTTGATAGAATCTTCAGATTTTTTCCATATATAAAATTATATTGGCTTCAAATAGGGATAATTGAACTGCTTTCTCTCCTATTTGGACATCCTTTATTTCTTTCTCATGTCTTATTGCTCTGGCTTAGACTTCCAATACTATATCAGAGGAGAGTGGTGAAAGTTGACAGCCTTGTCTTGTTTCTGACTTTAGGATAAAAGGATTTCAGCCTTCCCCCATTCAGTATGATGTAGACTGTGAGTTTGTCATGAATAGCCCTTGTTGTGGTGAGGTGTGTTCCTTTGATACTTAATTTTTTGAAGTTTTTTAAAAAATTAATTTTATTGGTACATTTTAGGCATACAGTATAATGACATTCATCATTGCAAATTTGCACCTTTACATAATCTCTCTTGGTTCTTATTTTTTCCCCATTCCCCTGCCCTCCCTTCAACCCCTCCATCCCTGTTTTTTGTTGTTGTTGTTGTTACCGGTATCAAACTTGGGACCTTGAGCTTGCAAGGCAGGTGCCAGAACCACTGAGCTAAATCCCCAGCCCCCTGTTTTTGTTTTTTGAGACAGGGTCTCACTATTAGTTCAGGTTGGCCCTGAACTCAGCCTGGCCTCCAACTTGCAGTGATTCTTCTGCCTCAGCCTCCCAAGTGCTGGGATTACAGATGTGTACAACCACACCCAGCTGAAGTTTCTTATCATGAAGGAAATGTTAAATTTTATCATGTGATTTTTCTACATGTGTTGAGATGATAATATCATCATCAGAATGTGATGTATTATGCTTATTGATTTGTATATGTCAAACCATCCTTGCATTCTTTGGATAAATCTCCTTGATCATGGTATATACTCTTTTTATGTGCTACTGGATTTGATTTTTAGCAATTTTGTTGAGACGGGATCTAGCTTTGTAATTGAAGCTGTCCTTGAACTTACAGTGTAGCCCAAATTGGCCTCGAACTTGAAGCAATCCTCCTGCTTCACCCTCCTGAGTGCTGGGATTTTAGGTGTATGCCACCACACCCAGCTGATTTGTTAGTATTTTGTTGAGAATTTTTTCATGTATTTATATTCTCTTTAATTTTATTTCCTTGTCTGATTTTGGTATCATGGTAACGTTGGCCTTGTAGAATGAGTTTGGAAAGGTTCTCTTCCTTTCAAAACTTTGGAATAGTTTGGGAAGAAGTGATGTTAATTCTTTTGTTTTTGGTACTGGGGATCGAACTCAGGTCCTTGTGCTTGCATAGCAGGCGGCGAAACCACTGAGCTAAATCCCTGGCCTCATGGTGTTAATTCTTTAAAAATTTGGTAACAGTCATTGGTGAATCCATCTTGTCTGGGCTTTTCTTTTTTTAGATACTTTTTATTACTGATTGAATCTCGTTATTCATGTCGGTCTGTTCAGGTTTTCTTTGTTGTCATGGTCTTATTTTAATAGGTAATATATCTTAAGACTCATTTGTTTCAGGGTTTCCAAATTTTTTGGCATATTATGGTTCACAGTAGTGCCTAACAATCCTTTGTGTCCCTGTAATATCAATTATAGAGTCTCCTTTTTTTTTTTTGGTACTGGGGATTGAACTTGGGACCTTGTGCTTGAGAGACAGGCGGCAGAAACATTGAGCTAAATCCTGGGCCCTAGAGTCTCCTTTTTTATCTCTGATTTTATTTGAGTTGCTTTCCCCAGGGTGTACCACTGAGCTACATGCCCAACCCTTTTATGCCTTTGCTACTCTAATATAATATAATATAATATATATTTCATATATACATATAGAGAGTCTCTGTTACTCTAATATAGATGTCTTCCCCCCCCCCCCTTACCAAGAATCAAACTCAGGACCTTGTGCTTGCCAGGCAGGCGCAATGCCACTGAGCTACATCCCCAGCCCTGTTTCATTTGTTTTTGCTTTGATCTTTGTTATTTATTTCCTTCCATTGCAGTGGGTTTGATTTGTTCTTGGTTTTCTTGTTCCTTGAGTTGGATTGAATTTTAAATCTTCGTTTTTTGGGTTTTTTTTTTAATGTAGGCACTTGTTACTGCATCCTTTTGTCTTGAACGGCTTTTGCTTTATTCCATACTTTTTTTTTGGTGCTGGGGATTGAATTTGGGACCTTGCGCTTGTGAGGCAGGCAGTGGCACCACTGAGCTAAATTCCTGGCCCTATTCCATATGTTTTGATATCTTGTTTCAATTTTAAATTGTTTCAGAATATGTTTAAATTTCCCTTTTGATTTCTTCATTGGCCCATTGTTTAAGAGAATGTTGTTTAATTTCTATGTGTTTGAATAATTTCTAAAATTAATCTTGTTAACTGGTTGATCTCCATTCTGGTCAAAGGAGATAAATGTACTAATTTTGATTTTTAGAATTTGTTGAAACTTACTTTTTGATCTAATATGTTGGAGAATGTCCCATGTGCTGATGAGAAGAATGTGAATTCTGAAGCTGTTGGATGAAATGTTCTGTAAATGTCTGTTGGGTCTGTTTGTTCACAGGCATGTTCTACCTGTGGCCCTTGGGTTGTTTTGCCAGTGCTATAATAAAAAGATAAAATTTTACCAGGATACATCATATTAACAGTACAAGATCCCAATGAGGAATGTAACTGTATTGTATACCTAAAATGTACCAATAAACTTAATGGAAAAAAAAGATAAAATTTTGCTACTTGTATATGTTAATTATATTGTGTATTTTATATGTACCTTAGGGCAATTCATTTTCACTTGGTGTAGCCCAGGCAAACTAAATGTGCTAAGTGTACTATGCTGCTGCATAGTAGAGTTTAACTGATGTTTCTTCATTGATTTTCTGTCTGGATAATCTGTCCATTGGTGAAAGTAGGGTTTTAAGTCTCTATTGTTGTATTAGACTCTGTCTTTCTTTTTAGATCTAATAATGTATATAATTGGGTGTTCTACCATTGTGTGCATATATGTTCACATTTGTTATCTCTTTTAGTTGATTTGATGCCTGTGTCATTACGTGGTGAATATGGTTTTTTTTTGTTTTTTTTTTGGTACCGGGGGGATCGAACTCGGGACCTTGTGCTTGCAAGGCAGGTGGCAGCACCACTGAGCTAAATCCCTGGCCCATGTAGTGACTACCTTTGTTTTCTTTTAGTTTTTGATTTAAAATCTGTTTTATTTGATACATATATAGCTATTTCTGCTCACTTTTGGTTTCTGTGATGTGTCCTGGGTGTGGGGAGACTGGCATAATTTAGTTGTTACGAAGCTAAGACAGCACTAGAGAAAACCTCTAGAATGAGAAAGGAAGTAAGGCTTGTCATAGTGGTCAAGAGCTAGCACCCCGATTTCAGTTCATCTCCTTTCCTATGGTATGTACAACAATTTTCCCCAATTATTGTCAGAACATACTATTAAATTATAAAGAACAGGTTAGAAATATGCTGCTACTGCCAGCACAGTACAGTGAAAAGACAATGAACTTTCTTCTTCTTCATCTTCATCATCGTTTTTGTCTTTTTTTGTTTTTTTGAGACAGGGTCTCGCTATGTAGTCCAGCCTGGTGTTGAACTCACTATGTAGTCCACATTGACCTTGAACTTGTGGCAATCCTCTTGCCTCAGCCTCCTGAGTGCTGGGATGACAGGTGTGTGCGCCACCATGCCGAGCTGGGAATGAACTTTAGAGTTAGATTGAAGTCCTGGCTTTTCTGTTTCCTGAGTACACAGCTTAGGGCAGTTTATTGTGATTGCTTGTGCCCCAGTCTCTTCCTGTCCATGGGGTACACTGTACTTAGTGGACACTCAGTGAGATTATTGTGTGGGAAGAATTGCACTAGGGTGCACCACATGGCTCAGTCGATGTTAGATTTCTTTCCCATCCTGCTTGCTAGTCCACTTACTAGTATTAGTAGAGGTAGAATCCACCTACCTGTGGACAAAACAGAAGAATTTAGTGTATTTATTCGAATATCTGGCTTAAGGTAGAATTCTTAATCTCTGAAGGAAAACAAAGGGCCTTTTGTGAGTTAATCTTTGTCTTTTTTTTGAGTCAGGCGAACTCACAGTGATCTTCCTGCCTCAGCCTCCTAAGTGCTGGTATTATAGGCATGTGCCACCATGCCTAGCTTAGTCTTCTTTTTTTTGATACAGGGATTTAATCCTGTTCTCTCTTTTAATAGATTTTTATTATAAAAACATTTGCTTATTGAAAAATAGAAAATTTTATAAGAAAATTTTAAAAATTAGGGCCGGGGATTTAGCTCAGTGGTTTTGCCGCCTGCTGCACAAGCGCAAGGACCCGAGTTTGATCCCCGGTACCAAAAAAAAAAAAAAAAATTATCCGTAACCATACCATACATATATATGCTTTTAAAATTTTCGTATAATTTCTTCCATTTACTTGTCTATACATTTTTTTTTTTTTTGGTACCGGGGATCGAACTTGGGTCCTTGCGCTTGCGAGGCAGGAGGCAAAACCACTGAGCTAAATCCCTGGCCCAGTTGTCTATACATTTTAAAATTGTAGTTTGAGATAAACTATATGCATAATTTTTGCATCTTCCATTTCTTTTAATTATAACATTTCTCTGTCATTAAGATTTCTTTATATTATTTAGTTAGCCATAGTATTGCAACTTAGGGCACATTATAATTTAAGAATTTTGTTGTTAGACACTTGAGTTTCCAGTTTTTGTTACATGCTGTGAAAGCATCCTTTTTGGCATAAGTCATCCATATTTAAGATGATTTCCTAAGTATTTATTTGAAGAAATATAGTTAAGTGTATCGAAGGGTTAGATACTTTATGGCTGTTAGATGCATATTTTAGAATTGCTGGATAGAAAGGCTATCTGTTTATGCTTCTACCAGCAATACATAGATGAATCTATTTTGTGATATTCTCACTATTAATGGTGATTATTCATTTTTAAATATTTTCCTTTTTTTTCTTTATAGCACTTGTTTAGCGCTCAGCACAGGACTGTGACTAGACAGAGTAGACAGCGGCTGATAAATAACAACAGTTTGATGGAACGTTTCCTGCAGGATGTTCTGCAACACCACCCCTGCAATTACCAGGACAACAGGTAAGGAAGCTCTGTGGAATAATAATGCTCCATTGTTTTATGCTGCAGTAGGTGTTTGTGTTAATGTTCCAAAACTTCTTCAGGTTAATCTTCAGATCAAGGAAGAGAAGGCGATTTTTTTTTCTTTTTGTGAGATGCTGGGGAGTGAACCTGGCATACTAGGCAAGGGCAGCACCACTGAGGTACACCCCTGCTCTGAAGTGAAATTTTGAGGGCAGGGAAGAAAGGGAAAAGCAATTTGAAGGAAAATAATGGAAATAGAGCTCTTTTGTACATGGAGAGGGGAAGAAGGGTTAGAGGGAGGGGAGGGGAAGGAGGCAAAAGAAAAAAAAAGAATTAAGATGTGTTGAGAATACTTTTCCATGATGAGTGTGATCATTATGTACTGTAGACATGTAGTACTAAGAAAAAAAGAAAGTGCAGTTTTATCTAGTAATTTCCACATTTGAAATTTTTCATTTTTCTTTTTTTTTTTTGAGGTAGGGTCTCACTGTGTTGTCCAGGCTGGCTTTCAACTCACTGTGCAGCCCAGGCTGGCCTCGAACACACGGTGATCCTCTTGCCCCAGCCTCCCAAGTGCTGGGATCACAGACATGTGCCATCACACCCGGCCATCTTTCTAATTTTTTTTTTTCAGGACCAGAGATCGAACTCAGGACCTTGTGCTTTCGAAGCAGGCACAGCGCCACTGAGCTACAACATCCCCTCATTTTCCCAATCTTTAAGACATTTCGTTATGGGCTAGGGTGGGGGTTGCTTAGTGGTAGAGTTCTTGCCTAGTGCGCACAAGGCCCAGGTTTAATCCCTAGCACCATGAAGACAAGAAGTTCTAACTATAGAAGATGCAAACTATGATTTTCCTAAATAGAAGTCTTAGGCCAATAAAACACACATCATCAAGGTGTTTTGTAAGTATGTCACAGGATAAAGTGGGGGTTGGACGAAATCAGTTTTAGATGATTAGTAACAGAAACACTGGTAACAATACCAGAGTAAGAATAGTCAAAGTAAAAAATTAAGTCACTTCTACATTAATGGTACTATTTGCTCACTCTGAGAAGAGATAGAATTGTTGTTTAAAAAAAATCTGTCAATATTGTGATTTTTTTCTTCTATGAATTTATTTTGGTTGTTCTAATAGAAGTAAATTATTTGATACCATTTAAAACTTAATGTTCTAGCTAGGTGTGGCAGTGCACGCCTATAATCCCAGCACTCTGGGAGGCTGAGGCAGGAGGATCACAAGTTCAATCCCACCCTGGGCAATTTAGTAATTTGTTAAGACTGTCTCAAAATTTAAAAAAGGGCTGGAGTTCATTCCCAGTACTGGAAAGGGGAAGGAGGGAAAGAAGGAAGAAAGGGAGGAAGGGGAGAAGAGAGGGAGGAAGGAAAAGAAAGAAAGGAAAGAAGGGTAGATTTAATGTCCTTTCTTAAAGAAAGCATTGGGAAAAAATCAGATTACATACTCTGAGTTTGCAGGTCCAGCTTTACAAACTAAGGCAAAATAGATCATTTGCAAATCTGTGCAGAATTAGCTGAGGTGTGTACCAGACTTCTGCTTTGCAAGACACTAGCCTGGACTAGAGAAATGGTGAAAATGTTTTAACAGGGTAGAGAAAAGCTGGTGGAAAGCCAAAATTGGACTCTTCTAGGGTCAAGTACGAGAGTTTCCAGTTTATAACTCTCATAAGCAATTCTTCAACAAACATATTTCTATAATCTATTTCTATGGTTAATTTCTTAAAATTTGAATGTCTGGGTCAATTTTTGTGGACTGTAGAAAATCTATTTTTTAACTTTTCATTTTGGGACAATCTCAGCTTACAGAAATGTTGCAAAACTGAAACAAGAAATTCCTGTATCCTCTTTATCTGACATCCCTGCATATTAAGTTTAAAATAACCACAGTCCAATGATTGAAAGTAGGAAATTGCATCAATATCACACAATTAAATGTTTAAAAATGTTGTCAGTGGTTCCACTAATATCCTGTTTCTGGTCCTGAATCCAATCCAAGATGATGATTGTGTGTAGTTGTCATATCTCCCGAGTCTCCTTTAATCTTGAACATTTCCCTAGTATCTCTTTACTTTGAAGATTTTGACACTTTGGGGCTTTCTTTTTCCTGTTTATCGATTTATTTTTGTATTTGTTCTTTTTATCTTGGACCATGACACTTTTGAAGAACACTCACCAGTTATAACTTTTTATGGGGCACCCATAATTTGGGTCTGTGTGATGTTTTCTCATGATTAAACTTGGGTTATGCATTTGGGTGGAATGTCTCAGAACTGATGTTTGTGGCCTGGTGGTTGTTGCTCAGGGGACACACGATACACGGTGTCTCATTGTGATGTTAAATTGAATCACTTGATTAGAGTGGTGTCTACCACTTTAGTCAACTGTAAAGTTATGTTTCTTGTTGTAATTAATAAGAATCCCTTAAGAACTTTAAGACTTTGTAAATGTCTCTCGTATTTCAAACACTTAAGCATCCATTGATTTTTCTTCCCCAAAACAGTTTACTAAAACTTAACCAGAATTCTACTATGAAGAAGAGTTTTACTTGTTCAGTTATTTTTTCAGATCATTAGAGATTCATGGCTATTTCTCTTATTGTTTGACTTTTAATCTGTCATTGTTTATTTTGTTACTTTACCAAAATTGTTTTTTAATGTAAAATTGCATGGACATTTTAAACCCTTGGATAGACACTTCCAGTTATGTTCACAGCATTGATTTATAGGGGTGGTCATTTTGTGTTGCCATCCCCAATGTTGGGATTCTCAACCACCCCCCAATAATAGGCCAAAAAATTATATCCCTTAATTAGCCTTTATGAGCAGAATAAAACTTTTTTAAATTTATTGGCCATATTTTATCCTATGTATTGTTTGTTCATCTACTTTGCCCACTTACCTGTTGAGTTATTTGTATATTTTGGATTATTATACAATATTTAAATATGGATAGTAATTCCTTATATCTTAAGTATTTGGGTTTTTTTGGGTTTTTTTTTGGTACCGG